TCAGATACATAGTATCCAAGACTGATTAACTAGTCATTGATATTTTAGTCACAGAAGCCCCTTTTTCTTATAGTGTGTGTTATTTTTTGTGTCTTGTAACTTAATTAAACGTTGTTCAAACTTATTGTAAATTATAATGTTTTTAATACTATGGTTGGTGTTGTCTTTTAACTTTTGCTATGAGACCCATTGTACAGTTGCACCTCATGTTTCTGCTATAGCGGGGTGTAACAATCATTTAGGGGAAAATCTGGTAAAAATTCAAAAACTTGCGATCACATATGACCAACCTGCGATCGCATATTTCGATTTCTTTCTCTGGAATTTTCCGCCTTGAGTATAAATACAACCATCATTATCAGATGCAGAGGAAGACGATTCCAGACAACAAAATACCCTTCTAAAGACAATTTTGTATACCTTTCGGCGACTTTTGGAGTTCTGAAGCTGCGAATCATCTCACACATTTAGTTTATTTAGATTTATCAGTAATGTTTCTTTTATGTAGTTTAGTTTCATTTTTAGCGATGTCTGGCTAAACCTTAGTTTTCAGTTCTACATAGACTACTACTTTTCATATGATTAGTTTTTGGATTTGGTTTTTTTCTTGTGTTTCTATCTAGATTTTTCAGTTTTGAGCTTAATGAACGTTTGATTTATAGTTCTTATTAGTCTGATCACCTAGCTAGGGTTTTTATCATTCCAGTTAATCGGTTAATAGAACCTATAATTGTTCTTGTCAACGGGTAAAAAGTAACAAGTATCAGATTGGTTCCGTTTTGGGATTTAACTCTGGTATAAATTGTAAAAATTATATCTTAACGCTTCTGAGCTTGTGAGAAGTGTTGGGTTTTGCTAGGAATTTTACACAATACATAATGCAATTTTTTTGATTTAATTAAGAGCTTAATTAATTGAACCGTAAAAAGTTATGGTTAATTCAAAGAGCTTGTTTTGGTTAACTAATTTATGTAAAAGAGATTATACTAGAGCTTGTTAGTTTTTCTCAGTACTAGCTCAGATAGAAAGCATTCTGAATAACTAAATCTGAACTAGTTGCATGATTAGGAAAGTTGTAGCAAAACTGAAATCGTTTTTAATATTGGTTTTCGTTTAATTTTAATATCACTGCAATTTTTTTTTTTAATTCAAAAACCCCTTTTATATTTTCTGTTTCTTGACTGCATTGTGTCTGATGCAAAAAGACATTGACCGTTAGGCTGTATGCCTGAGGATTCGATCCTGCTTCCCTGTGCTATATTTTTAGTGCAACCAGCATCAATAAATTTTATATGTTTAAATCGGGTGTGACAACCGGTTTAACATGCACATAGACAAGTTCTTAACTAATTTCGATTTTTTTAATCGGTTTATAAAAGACTAGTTTTGTCTAGATCGATTTCGATTTTAACCATTCTATTTTTTAGGTATTTTTGAAGTGAAATTGCGTTAAAAACCGATATATCAGTTAAAAAACTGGTTCAATTGTGTTCAATTATAGTAAAAAAATCGGTTTAAGATATTTATTAAACCTATTAACGGTTCAGGTGTAACCTAACCGGTTTGAATTTTTTTTCGTCAATTAAAAAAACGGGTTGAAATGTGCACCTCTACTTAAGGTTGTTTTCACAAGGTTAATGGTATGTTTATTTTAACGGTACATATAATAGCTTTATCAAAGGTCACATGTTGGTACCAGCTTCAAAAACAAGAAGAAAAAAAATGTGACCATGCCAGCTTCATTAAAGGTTACATGTTGGTCTGATGATATGTTTATGTTAATATTACATGTGATATATTTATTTTAGTAGTACACATACTAACTTTTAAGAAAAAGAATAATAAAGGTGACGTAGGAATTAGAATCGGTTCTTCTTTTAGGTGATCGATGTTTATAGACATATGAGTTAGGGGATATAGGGTTACTTGTTAGCAGTGTTGTTGAAATCGGCATTGGCGGCCGATTAATCGGTGATTAATTGTTTGACGGCCTTGAACCGATTACGATTAGGGTGTTTGGCAGAAATCGGTCAAAATCGGGTTTAGTGGTCCTCGGCGGTCATTGGCGGAAAATATTTAAAAAATTTAAAACTTTTAATTTTCAAATATTATACAAAAATTTTAAAATTTCAAATTTTTAAGTTTTCAAAATTTAAAATATTATACTAAGTTTTCAAATTTTCAAATTGTTAAAAAATTAAATTCCCAAATACTTAATTTTTTAGAAAATATTAATTTTTTAAATAATTTTATTAAAAATTTAGAGTCTCCGATTAATCCCCGCCTAGTCCAATTAATTGTTTATCGTCAGTTGACTACCGAGCTACCGTCGAACAATTTTTACAATCTCGCTTGTTGGTATCCATTAATGAAATAACAATGAATAAGTTCAAGTTTTGTTTATTTTGGAAAAAAAAATCAGGTTTAAAACGGAAAAAATGCAAATTAGGTCCTTTTATGAAAAAAATAAAAAAATAAAAAAATAAAAAAATAAAAAAAAAACAGTTTCCCTGATTTTAGTAACCTGTTGGAGGCTGAAATAACAAGTAATACGTAAAACTTGAGTATTTTTTAAATAGAAAAAAAGTTTACATCTAAACGGAAGGGGATAATGACTTAAAAGGTAATATATTTTTCGATTTGTACATATTTGGTAACTAAGTTTTTTTCGTCCATATTTACCCCTTTAACTTGTTAAACTGTACACATTCGATTTGTACATATTTCTCACTTTGTACACATTTAGTCTTTAATATTTTGTATACATTTAGTCCTTAATTTTTTTTGTTGCAAAATAAGACATTTTTGTTTTTGTACTCATTCAGTAGTGATGAATGATTTTTTTAGGTTTTCTCACGCCATCTTACATAGGACAATCATTAATGAGGTGTTTGAGGTTTTTGATGCTTATGCCCATCATGATATTGACTACTTGGTTGCTTAGGTCATGTGTTCTGAACGTTATAACTTCTTTATACGATCTCAGATTTTAAAGATCTTTATATTCATGCGTTCGTATTTTAGTCTACTACAACTTTCGTTTAGATTACTCCCGTTAAAAAGTAATATATTCTTACTTACAATTATTATATCCATATGTTTTTATGAATGCATGTATGAATGTTTTTTTATACAATCGTAAGTAAAATATATTACATTTTAACGGGAGTAATCTTAACGAAAGTTATAGTAGACTCAAAAAACGAACATATGAATATAAAGATCGTTAACATCTGATATTGTATGACGAAGTTACGACGTTAAGAACACATGACCTAAGTCAAACCACAAGATCTACGCAACCAAGCAGTCGAGATCGTGATGGACATAAACATCAACAGCCCCAAATATCTTATCAATGATTGTCTTACGTAAGATGTCGTAAGAAAAACTTAAAGAAATCATTTATAAGTAGTGAATGAGTACAAAAACAAAAAGAACTTATTTTGAAACAAAAAATATTAAGGAGTAAATTTGTACAAAAATATTAAAGACTAAATGTGTACAAAATAAGAAATATATTACCCTATTAAGTTATTTTTTCTGGCTGATCTGAAGTAACTGATCATAAGGACTGAATGTGTACAGTTTAACAAGCTGAAAGGGTAAAAGTTGACGAAAAAAAAAAACTCAATGACCAAATTTATACAAATCCAAAAAATATATTACTTTTTAAATAATTATAAAAAGGGTCAAAATGTAGAGTATTTTATGAAAAAAGAAAGACTTTGATTTAAACCACATAATTAAAATAATCTCAATTTAGAATTCCTAAGAAAAATAAATTAAATTATATGAATTTGTTACTCACTCAACGTACGGCGCCTTCTTTGCCCTAATTTGTGCTTGATCATTGGGTATGATAATAACTATAGATAAACCTCATTTGTAGATAAATAGTTTTCCAATACTTTATTAGAAACCGAAATCTTTTAACATGATTATTTCACTACATTCTTCCTGTTGGGGTGAAAATCATTTTCGTATACGTTTCATTCATGTTGGATTGTTTTCAAGGCTGGCGATAGACAAAACTGTAAATATAGAAGTAAGATTAGAAGGTATCTAGCTGTTTGTCATTATAAAAAAAAAAAAAAAAAAAAATAAAAAAAATAAAAAAAAAGTTGCATTGTTTTCGGTTTGTTTGTATGTGATTGAACTTCATGTTGGATTGTTTTCAAGGCTGGCGATAGACAAAACTGTTGGATTGTTTTCAAGGCTGTTGGATTGTTTTCATTCATGTTGGATTGAACTTCATGTTGGATTGTTTTCAAGGCTGGCGATAGACAAAACTGTTGGAGTGCAGCTATATACGTTTCATTCATGTTGGATTGTTTTCAAGGCTGGCGATAGACAAAACTGTAAATATAGAAGTAAGATTAGAAGGTATCTAGCTGTTTGTCATTATAAAAAAAAAATAAAAAAAAAATAAAAAAATTAAAAAAAAAGTTGCATTGTTTTCGGTTTGTTTGTATGAGATTGAACTTCATCGCTTAATAGTTAATACGCATCTTTTCTGATCTTTTAATATTTTAAATTTTTAACGATGGTATTAAAACTTTAAGGGCTGATTTAATGAGAACTTTCGAGTCGTTGAATTAAGCGAGATATCTCAGATAATTAATGTGAAAGTGGAGTTAAATTGAAGTAAAAAGTTATTTTATTTTATTTTTTTGAAAAAAACGACACTTCCCCAAACGTACTCCATATTCTTTGGCCCTTAATACTATTTGTTACTGGGATCTACAAGACTGCAACCATTCAGTATGGTGGGAATATAATAAATACTTGACCAACATGCATGTATTACTTACCCTGTATAACCAGATATCTTGGGTATGGGTTTGGTAGTAATAATTTTGGCATATCTGTTTTTGAACACCCATCCGTCATAGCTTTTACTGTATCATGTGAAATTCATATATAATGTTTAAAATTATTGTTGAACGTAACATAAAAATCACACATTATAAAATTGAGGTATCGCAGTATGAAAATGTATGGATAGATATGTAGAAGATGATCTACAAGGACAAAAAATGGCGCTTGCTACCAAATTCATTATCACATTCACCTTACTTTCACTTCTTTTCCTTGTTCTTTTTTTATCTCCAATAAATCAAACCCACAACATTCTTTCTTCCTCCAGTTTGCCATTACCTTCAATCTTCAGACTTCTGCAAGATGATGCTGAACCCAAGATCAAAGTAATTTTTTATATTCATTCCTTTGGGACAAACAAATTTTTCTACATACATTATCTTTTCCTTACATATTTTTAACTTCAATCTTTTACTTATTCTGGTGTGAACGTAATAATAACCCTTTTTTTCAAATGTGCTTAATCGTTAGGAAAATGACATTACATTGGCAAGAATCGAAGAACAGTTAGCTAAGGCAAGAGGTAAAATTCGCAAAGCGATTGTTGAGAAGAGCTTTGCATCGAGTCAAATAAATGGGAGTTTCATCCACCATGGACCCGTCTACAAGAACCCGTTTGCCTTTTTTCAGTTAAGTGTTTTTTATTCATAAAGTTTTCTTGATCTTTTTAGTCTCATTCCTTGAAGACAATGCTCATTTTTTGTTTATATAAACCCTAATTTAAAATAACTAAAATTATTTTCTCTATAACTTCTATCCGAATATGCCGAATATATAGCCCTTCAGATTCTAACCCTTAGATTTCAATGGATCATTCAGGAGTCATACAGAGATGATGAAGACATTCAAAATATGGACTTATAAGGAAGGAGATGTCCCCTTGATGCATAATGGTCCGATGAAATTTGTATATAGTATCGAGGGTGACTTCATCGAGGAAATGGAGAGAAAAGGAAATCCAATGGTGGCTAAGCATCCCGATGAAGCACATGTCTTCTTTATCCCCATAAGTATAACCAAGATTGTTCACTACCTTTTTATGCCTGATGATGAACCCTTTGCTTTTATTGATCGGACATTGCAACCAATAGTCGAAGACTACATTAATGTCATCGCCGAAAAATATCCTTTTTGGAACCGTAGCAACGGAGCTGATCACTTCTTTGTATCATGTCATGATTGGGTATGTACTATGATATATACTAGCTAGTAGCCAACTAGTTTTGTGAGGACATGCACCTATAATTAGTTAGTTATATCTTAATTTGCTAGCTAATTACCATGTTAAGCATTTATTATAATGCATTTTTCTTATTAATCTATATACATTTATTGATTGAAGAAAACTATTTGCATGCATAACAGGGACCATTTGTTTCAAAAGGAAACGCTAAACTCTTTGAGAATTTCATAAGAGTGCTTTGCAATGCCAACAGCTCGGAAGGTTTCGTTCCAAGTCGGGATGTGTCGATGAGTGAGAGTAAAGCGCCATTCAACAATATCCCAGTCGTAAGTAGTGGCCACTCACCTTATAATCGTTCAATCTTCGCATTCTTTGCAGGTGGAATACATGGTTATGTAAGAAAACGTTTATTCGAACATTGGGGAAACAATGAAGATAACGATATTCAAGTTTACAATTACCTTCCAAAAGGAGAAAACCACACCGAATGGTTGACCAAAAGTAAGTATTGCTTATGTCCTAGCGGTTATGAAGTTGCAAGCAGTAGGTTAACAGAAGCAATCTACGTGGGATGTGTTCCAGTAATCATCAAGAGTCATTACGTTATACCATATAGCGATGTGTTGGATTGGAGTCAGTTTTCAGTACAAGTATCCGTAGATGACATTCCAAATCTCAAAAGCATTTTGCAAGAGATACCTTTTTCGAGGTATTTGGAAATGCAAAGAAGGTTAATGGAAGTGCAAAGACATTTTGCGGTTAACATGCCAGCTAAATATTTTGATGTCTTTCACATGATTTTTCATTCTGTATGGCTTAGAAGACTCAATGTTCGATTGTTGAAATCTTGACCACAACTAATCTTAATGTAATATTTCAATGTATATCGTGAATGAAAGTATGTATTTTCTATATTCAAATTAGAAATTGGCATTAATGATATTACCAAAAATTTTACTTGCAAGATTAGTCGTATGCATAGGTTCGAATATTTCAAAGGAACCATGAACCATTAATGTCGTGTACATCGACACCCATAGATCATTTGTGCCACTCTAGATGCATGAGGTGAAATAAATTACTTCACATGTCTGATGTCAGCCTAGTTACCTACTCATGACACTACTAGAAGAGGGGGGAATATCCGCCAAATCCGTAGGCATTTAGTCGGAGATGGCTTAGCGACGGATTTGAGGCCGTCGCGTTTTAACCCGTGGCTAATCTTTACCGAGAGAATTTGTTGTCACAACTTTACCAACAGAATTAATACCGACGGACAAGGACTTGTAGTCACAACTTTACCAATAGTAGATAGGAGATATCATTTTTTATTGAATTTGTATCGAATATTTTTTACATTAATGATTACTATCATTAACATAGTCGAAATTGTATTTGGTTTTTATTTATTGTATTTTTTTTTCTGTAAAAAAACTTAGCAAAAAATATGTGACTAAAAGTGGTTTATGGTCACGATTTAATTTGTTAGATGTGACTAAAAGTATACAATATGTATAATAAAACACATTCTTGTGACGATAAGTATACTATTGTCACAATTAATTTATTATGTGTGACTATAAATAAACAATAGTTACGTGAAACGAATCAACCTAAGGCTAAAAGTAACTTATGGTCACGGTTTAATTTCTTTTGTGTGACTGAAAGTAACGAGTTGTCATGATAAAAAAAACAAAAAAAAAAGAACATGATACCAAAGTCAATAATAGTAATGACAAACCAAAAAAATGTCATTATAAGTTAATAATAATCATGAAAAACAAAAAAAAAATGTGTTACTAAAAGTCAACAATAATCATTAAAACAAATTAACCTACGACGAAATGTAGTTTATGACTTATGGAGACGTTTATCAAAAAAATGATTAAACTACAAAAATTGCTACCTTATGGTGACGGTTTTTACCTATAGCAATGGTTTTTATGGGTTATAGTCACCACAATTAAATGTCAACATAACTTATGATTAATGACACGTCATTTCCTTACATATTGAATGAAACAAAAATCCATCATAAAGTGTCTATGGTGACGGTTTTTTTGTGTGTCCAAACGTCATTGTCGTACTAGTGTAAGTTGCCGACGGAATTTCACTGAAACACCGTTTGACGAAACTACCGACGGGCCTACCACGGCTGAACGAAGACTTAGCGACAGACCTATTTTGACTTTGTTTGACTAATTTACGAACGAATCCTTTTACCGACAGATATTCTCTCAATAATCTGTTAGTATTCTAAATTTATTTTAAAAATAATTATATAATCCTAAAATTTCTAGGATTTTTGTTGATATGCACAAAAAAACCAATACTAAAAGTTAATAATAATCATATTCAAACACAATGGCTAATGTCATAAAAACCCTCAAATTTTTAAGAAATGTTCGGTTATATCCTAAGTCCAATTTTATGTCCACAAAAACCGTATATTTAGGCAAAAATTATCATAATTGCCCTTTTTCCGATTTTACCCTTCTATGGGATTAGGGGATGTTTGGTTCTAGGCTTAGAGGTGATCTTGTTCCATAAGTTTTGACACTGGTTAGAGCTGATTTGGGAGATGATCGTTTCTTTAGGTGGATAAATAGCGTATAATGAGGTATGATCGAGCTTAATGATTAAAGAACCAGATTTGCAGGTTTGTTGATATGGAAGCAAGCATCTGGAAGAAGGAACAGAGGACAGAGAATACGGGTATTTGCATACTGGAATGCTCTATTCGTTAAAAGCACAAATTCATCAACACAAGTTGTGAAAACATCACATTGATTCTCGACAGCTTGCCAAACTACTTTCCATAAGTTTTTTGTCCATGAGCGTAATCGGAGATTTCCATCTACATCCAACCGAAGGATCCAAAACTTCACATCTGCTTCACCATGATCCTGAGAAAAAACTGACCAAACTGGGCTTGACATTTTGTCGAACAGTTGGAAGGCGCCATCAGAAGCAAGAACAACTTGAAGATCCGATTGATTTGGGGTTGTTGTACTTCGCCAATAAACAATATCGTTTTCCCACTTGAGTTCCAAATCGCCGATGGCTCTAATTCTCAGACTGTAAAAACTCGAAACATAATTTCTAGCAGCTCGTAGCACTTGAGATGAAGATAAATTTTGACCTGGAAGAAGCATATCAGATGGAGTATTGAAGCTTTTCCAAACAATGTCTTTTTTATTATTCAAAAGAACGAGCTAGCCATCATCTTGTAGAACTGCTGAAGCAACAGATGAATTGGTGTGATGGAATATGGAGAGATCAAGAGAAGAGTGTGATGGAAGGAAAAGAGTGAGCAAACCAAACACACTCTAATCCTAGAACCAAACATCCCCTAATGTCATAGAAGGGTAAAATTGGAAAATAGGGCAATTATGACAACTTTTGCCTAAATATACGGTTTTTGTGGACATAAAATTGGACTTAGGATATAACCGAACATTTCTTAAAAATTTGAGGGTTTTTATGACATTAGCCCCAAACACAATCCTAATTGTAAACATTAATTGCAATAAAAATGTTAAAATACACACGAGTGTTCCATAAAAAACCCAATTATACATGTAACATCCTGAAATTTAGGTATATCTCTTTAATCCTTCTTCTTTTCCAAGTTGTCAAAATTAGCCCAAAATAGAAAATGGTGACGAGTGGGTACGATGGGCGTACTGAAGAGTACGCTGCGCGTACCCATGGGCGTGCCTTTGACGCAGACTCTACCCAGGTACGCTGGGCGTACCTTAGCTTACGCTGGGCGTAATGGGCCCAGATTCAAAACCCTAAATGAAACACGAGCACTATAAAAGGAATACTATAGCCCCATCCCAGCCACCATTTTACAGAGAGTGAAACCCTAAGATAGCCAAACCTTCGTTCTAAGCTTGTGTGTGTGTTTTGAGCTTGAAAGTATCATTGTGTGCTTGTGAAGAAGAAGAGAGGGCCATTGTGGAAGCTAGAGTTGGAGTGCAAGCTTTGGATCTGAGCTTTACAGAGGTTGGGGCACCACTTGGAGGTAAAAAGCTCAAAGCTTTCTTCATCATTTTGGAGTTGTGCATTATGGACCAATTTTTAGGGTTTTTGTCCCAAGATGGAGACTTTATGAGTAAATGGTCTCCATAAGCCTTAATCTGCCCCATTTCAGTATAAAACGTGTTGTAGATCCATAAAAATCCAATCTTGATCGTTAGTATTGAGTCATGCATGAGTTAAGGACTTAATGAGGAGAGAGGGTAAGAGTTTGGAGTGATTGGTGACCTTTACAGCCATGCAAAGGCTTAAAGGCTTCGACTTTATGGGTTAAGAGGCATTAGAAGGACTAAATCTGGAATATGAGCTTGTATCTTAATCGATTCAGACCAAAAACATTAAGAGCATGAAACTGAGACTTACGTTGGGCGTAAATCTCAGAACGCGCCGCGTAGGGGTTGAGATCCCCGATTCTGGATAGTCGGGGTATGCCCCGCGTACAGAGTTGGTACGCCCCTAGTACTGCCCTCTGTTGACTTTCGTTGACTTTTAGGGTTTGGTCAACAATTGGACATTTGGACCATTGGAGGGGTAAAATGGTCTTTTCCCCTTCTGAGAGATTATAGGAAGGGATTAGTCTAGCCTTTGAGAATCGTTGTTAATTAGAGGTAAATTACTTTATGTGATTAGGCGGAGGCTAGATCAGTATTTCGAGTTCGAGACTTTCCGAGATTTCCTGAGGTGAGTCTTCTCACTATACGTTACCTAGAGTGGTATTTATGTGTGACCGGAATGTCTTATTTTTGGATAAGGTGTCTAAGTCCATAACTATATTTAGTATGTACTTGACCCGACCCGGCATGGTCCATTTGGGTTGCATGACATCATGCATTTGGATAGACTAAATGAGAGAAATAACACTTGTGGTTTATTAATATATTATAAGTTCTAATATATTAATAGTATTATTTAATTAGTATTGATCAAGAATTAATTTGGAATTAATTAAGTGATCAAAAGATGACTAATTAAATATATGGGTTGATTATGTAAATCATCCATAACATGTATAGTGTGCTAAAGGCTCCATGGATTATCAAGTTGTGTTAAACCCATAGGATGCTCCATGGGAGTTACAAACTCATGGGTCATGGAAATGAAGAGTCATGTCACATTAGGGTTTACATGGTGTAACCCTAGATGTGACTCACTATATAAAGAACATGATACTCACCAAAATCGGTTACACTAAGAACAAGAGAGGGCAATCCGATTTTTACAAATGTTATACATTCTCTCAAAGTTATTCCAAAGCATTTGTTGTTGTGTGAAACATTTGAGGCATCACACTTGGGGTGCTAGGCTCTCAAGGTTTTCAAGGAATCAAATCAACTACAAGGTATGTAATTCTAGCCATCTTTTATATTAAAAGTTTCCCATGTATGCTAGATAGGATTATGAACCTTGGAAATCAAATTTTGCATGTATTTTAGACAAACATAGATCCAAGGTTTTCTAGGGTTGCATGTACACTTAGGGGTGTTAGCGTAGCACCCGGTTCCTGAAGGAAGGAGAAGCTTGAGGAACCAAGAGATTGGCCAGAGGAGTCAAACTTGTGCATGATCTACAGTTCTTGGAAGGTATAAAGTCGACACCTTGCTCCTTCTTGTATTAGATCCCTTTTTGGGGAAATTTAGGGCTTTTATAAGCCGTTCTTGGTGACCAACCATGATTGCAAGCATGGTGGGGGTTAAGGTTTCAGATCCAGGCTCATTAAAGGGTTAAAAGGCAGAAAGGGACTGCCTTTGCACTCATGGAAAGCCCCATGCAACTCAAGAGCTTCTTTTAGGGTCCTTTTAGCTCATAA